TTTTTTTTTGTGACAGCCCTAATGGTAATGAGATGCGCCCATCACTGCTGCTATCAGGCTGTAAATCAGGGAGGGCCGCTATCTTATCTGTGCACTGATGAGACGTCATCCGTAGGGTTTTATATGCATTCCAGCTTGACTCTGATCTCTGGCGTTATTCTGCTCCGGTCTCATCTCTGTCAGCACCTAGGATGCCTCGAGGGTGAGTAAAACATGGACTAGTTTTCATTTTTAGGTGAACTACAGTGGTGGCCAAAATGATCAGAACACTAGTATTTCCAGCAGCTAAAAATGGTTTAAGTCAGTTATTTCTATCTTTTGCTGTAGTGTGTCAGTAGGAAATATCAGTTTACATTTGCAAACATTAATTTGGCCATTAATTGTAATAATGCAGTGAGATATATGTTTGTGCTGCACACAGAGATCTGATGGATCTGTCTGGAGTCACATGAAGAAACAGAACAAAAGGTGGATTCTTGAAGCATCTAGAAGCGTCAGTTCTTCTGGATTGAGTCCGTCTCAGTTTGTGAAAATTAGTCCATGTTTTACTCACCCTCGAGGCATCCTAGGTGTATATGACTTTCTTCTTTCAGATGAATCCAGTCGAAGTTATATTAAAAATTATCCCGGCTCTTCCAAGCTTTAGAATGGCAGTGACTTCTTTTGGACTGTTGAAAAATAACACCCATTCACTGCAATTATAAAGCTTGGAAGAGCCAGGATGTTTTTAAATATGACTTCGATTGGATTCGTCTGAAAGAAGAAAGTAAAAAATAAATAGCAGAAATGAATAAAAAGACAAATGCACAACAAAATTATTAAAACTTGATCTAAAATACATTTGTTACTTGAGTTGTAATATAATAAATGTTAGCTGAAATAAAATAACACTTCAGTTTATTTATTTTAGCTAGTTGCCACGGCAATATTTCTCAATTTACGCTTAGTTTAACTCGATATACCAAAAAACTGAACTGAAAAATAATACACATGATATAAACATTAAAAAAAAAAAAAAAAATTAAAAATAGCTAAATTGCTGAAACTTTTGCTGAACTAAAATGTACTTGTCACTTGGATTTTAATAAATGTTAATTGAAATAAAATGTAATTTTATTTTACATTTTGGCTAGTTGTCAAGGCAACATTTCTCTTTTTGCATTTAGTTAAACTAAAACTTATTAAAAGCTATATAGACGCACAAAAAACTAATATAAATGACAAAAATGTGCAACAAAACTAAAATGTAACTAACATATCTGTTGCTTGAAATATAATAAATGTTAACTGAAATAAAATAAAAAAAACTTACATTTATTATTTCAGCTACTTGCCAAAGCATCATCTCTGAACTTAATTTAGTTTAACTTGATTTACTGAAAAACTAAAACTGATATAAAATTAAATAAAAACATATTAAAAAAAAAACTAAAAAATGATTTAAAAAATGTTAAATAAATATAATAAAAAAATAAAGTTAAATACTAATAAAATAAAAAAAACTTTTAAGATTTATTTGTTACTTGCAACTAATGGTAACTGACTTCAAATAAAATAATAAAAACACTTCTGGAAGTAAAACTATGAAGTATTTTAGCGTCAAATTCAATTTAACATCAAAAAATGTCATTGCATTTAAAAAATTTTACGGTAAAAAACCAGCAGCTGTGGTTGCCATAATTTTACCGTAAAAGGTACGGTAGCAACATTTTTGGTTTTACGGTTTTAACTTAAATTTACAGCTAAATACCGTAATTTCATTAACTGATATAATGTTAATATACGAACCTACTGAAGTACTGAAATCTGTTTTGTATCTTTGTGATACACTGATAACCACCAAATGCAGGAGGTGATGAGAAAGTCACACGATGAACCAAAGCCCATCACAAGCAGCTTTTAAATATTAACATATATAGAAGGTGCACAGCGTCATTCACACAAACACTAAACACCATCACGGTAACACACATGAAACTGAAATAATGCAATAAACGTTAATTTAACAACATTAGGTGTAACACACAACCCTAATGTACACAAAAAACGAAGAAACCGTTATTTCAACAAAAAAAACATCAAATTTTAAATGTAACGCAGGGAATTCTGGGAATGTCAATATACGGTTATTCACTGTAAATTATACAGTCTTTCAAAAAAACGGTATACTACCGTAAAATTACATGTGATGTCCAATACAGTTTTTCACCGTATATAGTAGGGATGAAACTGAAATAATGCAATAAACATTAATTTAACAACATTAGGTGTAACACACAACCCAAATGCACACAAAAAAACGAAGAAACAGTTATTTCAACAAAAAAAACATAAAATTTTAAATGTAACGCAGGGAATTCTGGGAATGTCAATATACAGTCTTTCAAAAAACGGTATACTACCGTAAAATTACATGTGATGTCTAATAGACCAATTACGAGTAGACGTCACAGTTACGTCACTTGCAGCTGTGCAGTGGTTGCAGAAAAACACTGGGAACAAGTGGAGATAAACGGGAAAAATCCATGGAATAAAAGAAAAAAATGTTTTTGTGCCTTTTGATGTCAAGATCGAAATGCAGATCATTTTTATAGAATACTGTCGTCATTTGAAGCTAAACGCAGACGTTTAAATGGACATACTATGGATGAAAACGGCTATGATTACTCTACTTTTAAAGCATAAATTCGATTTAAACAATAGGTCTACATAATATTCACATATGCTGTTCATAGGGGACGTATTGTATTAGCCCTACAGTTACAGCATGAAATATTATTTAAACCTCTTTACATAACATTTATTTACTTTATCTCACAATTCTGACTTTTTTTCTCGCAAATGCGAGTTTATATCTCCTAATTCGGACTTTATAACTCGACTTAACTCAAAAATAGTGAGTTTGTCAAATCTGAGGGAAGAAAGCCAGAAGAGCCGAGGGGGAAAGAGAGAACGACGAGTTGTTTTTCCTTATTAGAATTGTGAGATATAATCTCGGAATTGCGAGAATAAACTCAGAATTTTGAAATATAAAATCAATTTACCTTTTTAAATTCTTTTATTTCATGGCTCCATAGACTGCCGCTTGAAAACCCTAATTTTCTGCCTCCAGATAGGCTCCGCCCACAACAAACGCCACCCCTGTTTGGGATCTGTAAGACTATCCCACTCTAACATCAATTTCGTTGAATAACAGTGCTTATCGCTGGCTGACGAGCTCTTGTAATATGCGTAGAACGTTTTTAAAGTGACATCTAATCAATATAATTTATAATCGTTTTAAACCTAACTAGATTGTACCGTATCCGTGAAATTGTCTAGCCGTAGAGGCTATCTCTCCCGGGTTTTCTGCAACCGTGATGCGCGCGCATCCTCAATGTTTACGAACCGATAATTGGTCTATAGAGTTTTTCACCGTATACATTTAACGTTAACTATTTAACAGGTTTTTACTGTAGTCTTTTACTGTTAAATTCACGGTCATTTTTTACAGATGACTGTATAATTGACCTATGCTCCGCCCCCTCAGGTACAACGGCCTATCGCTGCGCTACAGCCTGACCCTTGGCTCCGCCCACTCGCCAACCGCGGTCATAAAGAAGCTGCTGTCGGTCCTCAGTCTCAAGTGTACCGACATCTTTCTGGACCTCAGGGTGAGACTTGAAATGAGTGCTAATGATGCTCAAACCCTGAAACCTCATTACAGCCCTGAACACCACAGCCTTTATCGGTTTGATTGGTTTGCAAATGGGCGGCACTAATGTTGTTACAGTTTGTGCAGAAATCATTAGTATCCATCTGTGCTCCTGTGTTAGTGGAGTCAGTATGTCTGCTGTTTCTCCAGATGAATTCAGTGGAAGCTGTCTACAGGAGCTTATATAAACTGATTCTGCTGCAGGCGCTCAGGTAAACACTTCACACACAGACGTGTGCCGTCAATAAGATATTTAAAAGAAATTAATACTTTAACTCATCAAGGACGCATTCATCTGATCAAACGTGCCAGTGCAGACGTTTATAATGTAACACAAGATTGCTGTTCTTTTGAACTTTCTATTCATCTGTGAATCCTGAAAAATAAAATGCATCAGTTTCCACAGAAATATCGTGCAGCACGACTGTTTTCAACATTGATAATAATCAGAAATGTTTCTTAAATCAGCATATTATACTGATTTCTGAAGATCATGTGACACTGAAGACTGGAGGAATGATGCTGAAAATACAGCTGCGCATCACAGAAATATAATGCATTACGTTACTTTTGCATTACTTATGGGCGGGGCTTGCTTGCTTGTTTTTAATATAAAAATGTTTCCTCTTTTACAAACGTAAAAGCCCTTTTACACAAAGTGAAATTAATACGGCTCAAGCTGAAGGAAATGTAAATGCACGTCTGTACAGTAGAGGGCGCAGCTCAAACTAATCACATGAAGATCACAAATGTCATTTTTGTTTATTAGTATGGATGAATTGGATCATCGCTGCTTTACTAGTTACTTAAAGTAGTCTAACTTGTAATGCGTCCCCCAGCGCCTCTCTGGCGAGTCTGAATGAGTTCATCTCTCCTGCAGGTCTGGTTCTGGGTTCTCCGGACGGTGGAGGTCTTCTGCAGTATGAAGCCGTTCAGCTGCTGTTCTGTTTGGCGTTTGAGGTGGTTTTCACGGTGCACCGATCGCTTTACCGCAGCCTGCTTCCTCCGCTGCACAAACGTACGTTTGTTTTGCTCATCTTCAGTCCCTTCTGTGCTTCAGGCCGTCGTTTGGTGTGGAATGAGGAGGAAACCGTTGCATTATGGGTTAGAGAGACTGTAAGAGCAATAATGTCATTTATAATAGTAGCAGTGTTATTTTAGTATCATTAGTATAATATTAGTTTAATAGTATTGGTTAAATTAAGAATATTTTTGATGTAGTTTTTTAATTTTTTTATTTTTTTGTGGTATGTCTAATTTTATTAATTTTTATTTCAGTCATAGTAGTTTTAGTATTTCAGCTAAATTAAAATGGAAAATGTAGTTGAAGTTTGTGCTTTAAGTTTCCACTTTAATTTAATTTAATTCTCTTTTTTTTGTAATATGTCCATTTAATTTTTTATCAATTTTTATTTATTTAGTAATTTTAGTACTTCAGCTTAAACCGTTTTCCATTTTTCTAAGTTTTAGTTTAGCTTTTTATTATGTCCGTTTACTTTTGATTAATTTTTATTTCAGTTTTAGCCGTTTTAGTACTTCAGCTTACACTAAAATTAATATGACAATGGAAAATATAGTTTAAGCTGAAGTTCTAAAATGGCTAAATCCGAAATAAAAATTAATAAAAAGTAAATAGACCTATTTACAAAAACAAAAGAACTAAAACATACACTAAAATGAAAATGTAAAATATAGATTGTTTTAGTTATTTTGTTCATATGTCTCTTTATTTTAATTCATTTTATTTCAGGTTTTTGTTTTCGTAATTTTACTGCTTAATTATATTTAGTATATTTATGTATTTATATTTATTGTTGTGATTGTTTTTACTTTTAGACTTTTATTCAATTTTATTTAATTTCTTTAGTTGTTTTAGAACATCAAGTTAAACTAAACAAAAATGAAATGTTACAACTAACTGAAATGAAACAAGTCTAAACTGTTTAGTGTTTATATATTATTTCCCTTAACGTTTTATATTTTAATTAACGTAAATATCTTTAAATAGTTTTAGTTCGTGATAAGCTTATTTGCATTTGTAAAACTACCATTCATCGTGGCAGAAAAACTGATAAATCCGTGGGATTTAGAGTTATTTTAGTATTATTAATATACTATTATAATTTGTTTTGAATTAGCTTTTACTCTATATTTTCATTTTTTTTCATCTTATGTGCTTTTGTAAAAAAATGATTACTTTTTAAGTTTATTTTTTGTTTAATTTTAGTTCAGTTTTAGGTTTTCCCTCACACACATTCACTTGCTGTCTCTCTCTCACTCACACACACACAC